TTAAAAAAGAAGACAAACCTGCTGCGACTGGAGAATTGGTTCCAGTTTTGCGAGATCCAAAATGTGGACAGCCCTAGTAGCAAAGGTATATCGAGTCGATATACTCCAATAGCGTTTTTTCGATATACCACTCCTCGTAATTTCATTGGTTTCCCCACCTATGTGTTCTTGTCTGTCATTGGTTGGCGTACGTTTAGCGCGTTGCCAAATCGCGCGCTTACGCCTCCACGCCATTTTCTGATGAGGACAACGTGGTGCGGGTGAGTGTGCTGCATCCTCCTTGTTCTTTGTTATCATTGTCATCTATCTGCTTATTTTGTACATCTTATTGTCATTATGTTTAAGGAAGAGTCCGAGAGAGCATGAAGACGTCCAATTAAGCGATATGGTGAAGAAATATTTAGAGAAATTGAAGAAACGGTACGGAAACGACGGTTGTTTGTAAATGTCTCACAAGCCGCTTTACGCAATTGCTCTGTTGTATGAGTGGACTACCCGATTCGGCGACGAACGAAGTCATCAAGGGTACGTTCTCAATAATTATTGATCACTGCTCTATCCACAGAGGTCTTAGGGATTTGGAATGACGACGGTAAAGCCGCCATTGCCGATCTGGAGTTGTCCATTAAAAAGCGGCTTAAACGGTCACTGAAAAACTGTCAAAAAAGGCAAAGGATTAGTAACAATACCCAAGCCGACGGTAAGTGTTCTTCCATTACCAATTAAACACTACTCTTTAATGTAGATCCAACACCGGGATCTTCAACAGGGAGCTCGACCAATTCAACAATGAATAGCGCCAATATGGACGACTGAGACCACAGAAATTATTGTACATATTCATTTTATTGTTTTTCTAATATATACCTACCAATTCATACGGCTTTGATGTGTTGTGGGTACTTTGCGCTATTTTATACGTTTGTCATCACGACTAAGACTGCGATAGATGGTTTAGGAGGAGAGGGAGGGCAGACAGAAACAATATAGGTCGATTTAGTATAAAACGGAGGTATTTCGTGGGAAAAGGGGTCGTGTAAATTGCTATACGTGCTGCTACGGTCGTTTTTCGAGTATATCGAAAATTCGACATCTACTCGATATACAACCGCCGGACAAAAACGCTATCCACTCGATATACGTATATCGAAAAAACGCTATCTACCCGCTATCGAGGCGATATACTCTTGCTACTAGGGCAGATGTCTCTGTTAAGATTGCAAGAAACGACCCACACGGCGATACTAGCAGTGATGATGGAAATGTGGCTGGTTGAGGAGTTAGGAAGAGGATTTTTCGATCGAAAGAACCAGACGCACACTTAAAAATCAAATGAATCTGGCATGTCTTGACGTCTAATACAATAGTTCGTGTCGGGCTGCCTATACAGATGTCGGGTAAATAAATAGATACCTTTAAGAAGCGATGATGGACATTTGGCATTGCAAACTATTTGAGGTGAGGTAAAACGGCCTTCGGGGTGCGTGCCTGATTTTAGTTCTGACAAAACTTCGGACAGCAAGGGTACAAAGTCCATCAGTGAACTTAAAAACACTGTTAATTGAAATCCCTCGAATTACAGAGGTGCGGCGGTAAGCTCAAACAAGCTGCATGAGCTCATCGATTAGATAATCTTTCTTTGTTACCCAAACCATCAAACTAATTTCCGCAAACGTCCATGCAAATATTCTGACTGAAGTGTGATTTCGTGCAGTATAACTTGTTCTCTCACATTGGAACCAACTAAGTACAGAAGTCATTGCGTCACGCTACCTCCTACTCCAGAGCCGAGTAAATCACAGGCAGATCTTGTAAAAACTTAAAAGAGCATTCATTGGATTGCGGATGTGAAAGTTGACCCCTTCACCTAACGAGGGTACGCACTTTGTCTATAAGGGCACCCCTACTATCCGCATGCACCATCCCGACACCCTTGAACTGGAATGGTGACCTATTCTCGGTATATTATCTACCTCAGGGACGATACTGTCTGCAGGTAATCAACCCACGATGTATATATTATGTCTCGAACCTAATATTTTCTTAACAAATGCAGGCCAGCAGAATGGAATCAAGATGTTATGCTTCAAGTCCATAGTAATGATCTATGACTCGATTTCAACTGTAAAACAACTGTCAATTTAAAATACATTTTCCTCTGCAAATATAATAACCTCAGCCGATTTTTTAACAATTTATTTGTGGCGACTATTGTTCTGTCTCTGTTTAGCTAATTGGCCTTCTTCTCATTTCAATCACACTCCCATTGCTCTCATTTTGTCGGACATATACTTCTTGATTCTGTCACGCCGCACTTTTCATTATTTAGTTGATTTTAGCATATATATAGTTTTTTCATAGCGAAAGACAAAATGAGTTCAGTCTGTCCAAATGCCAGGGAACATGAAAAATAAGGCCCAAACTTACGACTACTTTACGACGCTAAAGTACCTGGAGATACAAGGGCGGTTGCAGGGCTTCCGTTCCCTCCTAAGACACAGTCACTTTAATGAACTTTAAAGATGAGTTTACCAATATAAGGCTACTGGGTTCATTCATTGTACATGAAGGAAGTCGACGCGAATAGGAGTAGAGTTGTGAATAACGCATTTTGGCATATTCTGACTTGATGGCATTTTGGGACGAGGGTTTCATATTCTTACCGTCAATGTATGCTAAATAAAGCGCGTATAGGCTTATTTTTCGGTGTGACTACAATAAACTTCATTGTAGCATTATAATGAAGCGTTATATATGGTCGATTTTTCACTGGGGTAACCAAGAACGCATATCGTTCTCAGAAACATGGACTAACTACAGCACTAGAATCAAGGCTGGAATTTTCGACTTCTGAGGGATTTGCCTTTTTCGAGTCTCCTGAGTGCTGGACACCCCTACAGCCTGTCGGAATTAACAAGTCGATTCTTCATAGCAGTACCTCGATTCTCACAGAATTGCAACGGGGTTTTCGTCCGGAAAACCTGTCTCCTTCCGATCACATCTATGACAACCGCACCGCGATATTCCCCAAATACAAGAACGGCTGAGTCGTTTGCTATTTACTTCATACCGTTGGGTTGGCTTAAAATCGTTTTCATACCGTCAAAACCGTTTTAAGTTTATTGACTTAATAATGGTAGTCGATCCAGGGTCCTCCAGACTTTGGGCAAAAATTCGTCTCGTGACGGGGTCGAACCTGGGCACGAGATTGACGCTGAAGTTGTAGCTACCACTACGCCATTGACGCGCAGCAGGCAGTTTGACAAAAACGATAAAGTTACTAAAAGACGCTGTGTAAATGACTACTGCGATAGGTCTTCTGCTGTCAAATCACCTCCCGCCAAACGCGCAAGGAGTCTGATAAATTTATTGGATGCTAAATACGAGGACGAAACCTGCGCTTCATGTTTTAGACTTCTTCAAAAATCTTGGAGATTGAGAAGGATATAAGGAATCTAAGAATTCACATGGAGAAGCTGATGAAATTTCCTCACCGTTCACCCGAAAGGAGAAAGAGGGCGATGTCAGAAGTTTAGAAAATGACCAGAAAAACGGCCAGTACGACTTCAGTAACTGTATTAGCCCCTGAAAAAGAAGACAGCACGTCTACGGACCCAATCACATCAGAGATACTGTCTCATGTGCGAGAGGAAAATAATCGAAGGGCATCTCAAACAAAACCAGGAGACGTCTCAATGCATCCCGAAAAGACCAAGTATGTCAGAGCGTCAGCAGGAGAGATCAGAGTCCACACAGGATGCAAACAAATGCCTCACTGCCACAAGAGGTACCATTTGACCAAGAAGCTTCGATAAACGAGGAACCCTGCTGTAGCTATACCATGACAACTGTCTCTGAATTGGACATTGATGACAACACAAATTTTCACGATGAAGACTGTGCGTATAGAAATAAACGACAGCGTCCTATTGATGGCAATAAGTGTATCTTCGTAAAGGGGATGTCTGAGTCTTCTTCAGACATCCCAAAGAACAGAATAAACCACGCTATAGAATTATTCCAGCAATACCTCAAATCCCTATTACAAGAGAATGAGAACATCACCGTCTTCAAAGCTTTTAGTATAGGACCGAGTAAGGATTTGAAGGGCGAGTCGGGTTATCATAGACCATTAAACATTATTCTCGAAAGTGAGGAACAAGATCTATTACTGCTGAACAGGAAACCAGCACTGCGAGATGTCCACCCAACAATTTTTTCAGTGGGATTTCTCACCGGCCGAACGGGAGAAATGGAGGGAACTCAAGGTCGAACTACTTAGAAGATACAATTCCGGCGAGAAAAACCTAGGAATATTGAATGGGAAAATTGTAAATGTTCGGAGCTCATTCCTCTGGAGACAATCAATAACAGTGAGCATAATTAATAAACAGATGCTAAGGAAAGAACGCTTCTATCTGACAAATCGATCAGAGAAAACGACGACCAACGCATTAACGTGCAGTCCAATCAAACAGCAGTAGACACGAAAAGGGGCGATAGACCCGAAAACTCTCACGAAATATCCAGCAACTTTGACCCTTAATTCGTCGGGGAATCTGCCCGATCTAAGCTCCGCTTTCTCTATGCAAATGCTCGGAGTTTGTTCAAGAAGCTAGATGAGCTGAAAGTGTGGATAACAGATATGCAGCCGAATGTCATTTCTATCACAGAGACTTGGTTCCAGACCGAAGTCTTGGATGCCGAAATTACACTCGATGGATATCAACTTTTTCGCCGGGACAGACTGTATAAAAAAAGGAGAGGGAATAGCGGTCTACGTTAAGAGAGGAATCATCGCGTCGGAACACAAAACCGATTGCTCCCCCGACCATGAAGCACTGTGGTTAAGACTGAGGGGGCGTGAGGCACCTAATCTGAATTTCCTTATCGTATACAGGCCGCTCAATCAAACTGCTGAGGTTGATGAGGCGAAGTTCGGGTTAATTAAAGAGGTGTCACAAAACCGAGAGATACTGATAACCGGTGACTTCAACGCACCCATGGTCGACTAAAACAATTTATTAGTAAACGGTTTGCTAAATTCCTTTGATTCCAGGCTCTTGAAGCTAACGGCTAATCTTTTCCTGGTACAATACTGCACGTTCCCAACCACGATCAGAGAGGACCAAAGAGTAAATTGTCTGGACCTCGTCCATACAAAAGAGCCAATTAGCCCTGACGAACTTTGGCTCATAACACCGCTCGGTAAGCATGAGCATGTCATGCTGTTTTGGGAATACCGCCTATGCAGCCAACAAGTGAATACGACTGAGCCTAGACTGAATTTCTGGCGAGGAGATTTTGCCGCCATGAGAAGGGAACTATCGGCAGTGGACTGGAATGATGTTCTTTCCGGACATCCAGACGCTGACTGGAACACTCTCAAAGGAGTTTTAACCGGCATCATGCATCGAAACTGTCTGACAAAGAGAGTCAAAATGAATATTCGTCCTGCCTGAAACGCGGGATATAAAAAAAGAAGTAAACCGGAAGAACAAACTACGGCGAAGGTATGCAAAAACAAAACAACCATCCCATTACGAGCAGTTTTGTCGAAGACGAAACGAGGTAATGTCGGCTATCCGCAGGTCGCGGAAGGAGTATGAAATGCGAGTTATGGAACGGGCTGTTGATAAGCCAAAAGTGCTCTTCAGTTACATCAGCAGTAGGTTAAAGAACAGGGAGACGGTCGCAGTGTTGAAAGGAGAAAAAAATGAGTATATCATCGAAAATGACACTAAGGCAGAACATCTAAGCCGGTTTTTCGTATCGGTTTTCACCGATGAAACGGACTTTGACGCGGCTGGATTGCC